TGAAGTGCCTAGATCCCTCTCGGCTACAACCCTGGATTTTCGTGATTTAAAAAAATTTAATTTTTCAGAAGAGATTACTCTACAACCAAATAAGCTATTCGTGATCTTAGAACGTCAATTTTAGTTTGTTCAGAATGCCAAAATAAGCGTTTTGGACAAGTTTGGCTCAAATTGGTGACATCGACCACAGGTGGTGTACTCACTTGAGTTGAAATGACCCTTATGTGAAATTTCATCAGCTACAACAACAGCTAGAGCCCACTTTTTTATTAGGTTATTAGTTATTAATTGATTTCGAAGCCGATAACTTTCTGATATGATTAATCAACTGCTTTCAGGGCCAGACTGCATCTTCCTCTTATGACATAGTAGCCTGGATTGTTTGCCCTATTATTCGTGCAAAGTACACCAAAGTTGCCTGCTAAGCAGTTTATGGAGCATGCCTGAAGAATATCATCTTTGTAATCAATTAATAACGAATTGTCCTGACAATCAATGAAAATGTGGTCCTGAGTAAAGTTGTATCTGGGAAACTTTCACATTAGTAAAGATTGCAAACTTTTCCGTATATCGTCACGGTGAAGGACTAGAACGATGCGAACAAACAATTCACTTTTCCCATAGTAATTCCCATATAAACATCAAAGGGCCAAAGTATAAGTTCGCATCCAAATAAGCTCAAATTTTGGGAGAATTATCAAGACCTGGTTTTAAATCGATTGATGGTGGTGGAGGAAAACCGATATTTTGAACCACCCTATTGCTGCATGCATTGACGTACACTCAAAATAATCGACACGTTATAGTTGCGTAAAAAATCACGTAGAGTATCTCTTTTTGTTTTTCCGTCAATTTTACATGACATCACTTATGTATATATGACGGGAAATTCCATTTGAAACCGTTACATTTTTAATGAAGTTTACGTGATTTTCGCAAACACAGATAGCAAACTATTTTTTCTCATTCCAAGAAAACGATGTGCAACGGAATCATTTTTGTGTCGAGTCAACTTTCAGCTTAATTTTTATATTTGGTGAGTAATCTCACAATCTCACAGGGCCTCCCTTAGCTCACTTGGTAAAGGACATGCTGAAGGTGGCTGGGTTCAATTCCCGGTATGGTCTAGCAATTTTTCGGGTCTCGACTTTCCTGGGCATAGAGTATGTGATTGTATTTGCCACACAATTATACTAATGCAAAAATGGTACAGGCATCGAAAGCTCTCAATTAATAACTTTGGAAGTGCATATAGAACACTAAGTTGAGAGCACGAAGTTAGCTAATATGCGATATTCAATAAGCTTGAAATCCGAAGAAGAATAAGAATCTCACAATATCAAAGAAGCTTGTAAAATCAATATCATACATGATTTTTGATCCAATATAATTTGATTGATGATTTTACCAACACTGATCTACCGATGAGTTTGAAATTTAGATATCAAAATCGAATGACAATTCTTCACACGAGTGCTTCATCATTGGGAAATGACAAGAAAGCTCATGATCGGTACTTTTGTCTCGTGATAGTGAGAGGAACTTTTTTATCATTGTCACACCACGGTCGTGATATTTACCAGATCTGAATTGATTATGATTGTGATGATTATGATTTGAATAGGTTTTATGGAGGTCATTTTTCAATCAAACTTGTCCAGTGAACTTTTGCATCAACTACGGATATCTTATGTGTAGCATTCGGACAAAACTCAATAGCTCCAATCTCATGTATGATTACATGTGCCCATGAGATTTCCGTAGCTAAATTCAACGTCGCAAAAATCACTGATGAGTTTTCAGGTTAAAAAACTCATTTCTATATAGTGTGGCGTTATTCATTGTTATTACTATTGTTTAGGTTGGAAAATTAACACAACATGCATTAGCATACTATCAATTGACGTTAGAGTGGTTTTTATGAGTTTTACACGGGAAAAATCCGATCTCCGAAATGAAAAAAATGACTCATGATTTCATGAACGCAGCTTGTTTTCATGTTATGAGAATACACCATGAATAATATTCATGATATCATGAGCAACTTTTCCGTAACGCAGCAAAGATTCCCAAAATCGTGAATCATCCGAGTTGAAATCATGAGCAAAATTCATGGGTTTAACTGTTAACCAAAAACTGTAAATAGAATAAAATAAACCATCAGACTGGATTCGAACCAAGAACCTTGAGATCATTAAACCCATAATTTGACCACTAGACTATCAGTACTTGTATAAGATGGCAGACAAAAGGCTTATAAAAGAAACCTATGTAGTGCGGTTTATGAACACGGTTTGCCACGGTACGTGTAGCGCTTGTAGCGGTCTTGATTCCACTGCATTATGAAATCATGAATTTCCATGACGAATTCATGAATCATGGTTACTATTTCATGGGATGGCAAGGTTTTTCATTTCATGATTTTTTATTCATGAAAATGGAATCGGATTTGTTTCCGTGTAAGGAATGATTTTTCGACGTTACGAGTGTGGGAATATGCATGAGAATATCAAGCGTGAATTTTGTTTGCCGCATTCGCAGGCTAATTTATTCTCGCAGGAAGGTTCAATGAATAAGATTTGAGAATGATATTCCGTACAATTGTTGTGGGGAAAGACTTGGTAATCTTAAACAAGTCCTTTGGAGTCTTTATGGTAGGTTACTGTTGAGGTCCCACTGATATTTATTTTGGCATATCAAAAATGTTCAGAAGTCATGTTTAGAGGAGGTAACGTTTTACATCTTGAGAGGCAAGTCCAGTGGGAGGATTATAAGATTTATGGGGCAATCTATGGGTCTTTCGAAACAAGCTCAGTTGATCGATACTTTAAAAAAATCCTCTGGTTCTAATCCATAAAATCTCTATAGATATGAACCTTCACTTTTTCAGAAGTTGTGACCGGCGATGTATTAGGATTGCAAAATTCGCTACGAGAGGAGGGGGAGTCTCCAATAAAACCGTACAAAAAACTCTATAATCAATTCAAGTATTGACCATCAAGAATTCAAGCTGAGGAATGCATTGGATCCTAGGTAATATTGATTCTCTTCATAGTCTTTTTATTTCGTTGATAGCTTGAGTGCCGAACCGTTTATTGTCGTGTTTGTCATATTAGAAGCTAGATAAAAGCTTCTTACATCGATCTGTGAGCTAAAAATAGCGGGGAATGTCTTAACATGGCCGGGAGGATGCAAAGAGAAAGTCTACGAAGAGAATCTGACAATGTTTCTTAGAACCTAATCCAGTATTCAGCTTGAATTTGCAATACCATTAAAATAAAACCTCAGGAATAAACGTTTGAAAAACGTTACATTCACATTGGGCTTACAATTCCTCGTGTATTTAGGGTTTTTCCTACATTATTTAAGAGCATGCTGCAGCTGTTTAGAGTGTAAAGACGATTATACCGCTGTTAGTACCAGACTTGGCTAGCGAACCGAGGTTGCACCGTACAATTTTAGCTTACTACACATGCACAGTGGTCCAGAATGCAGATTTAGCTGGAATGATATGTTTTGAGCCTGAAATTGAAACTTTAGACTAAAAGTCTCTTCTACAAAGTTGTTCCTTATAGTTAGGCCCTCATTTTTATGACAATGAATTCTAGGGTGGTTCCTATTATCATTAAAATCAAAAATCTAACTTTTTTGTTTGAATAAATTAAGGTATACATTCTTCGGCAAAGTTATAGCTGAGCTAATTTTAAGCAACTTTGTGAAAAATAACTTTTTTGTATCTCTTAAATTGGCCGATTTAGAGCTATTTTCTTGAATTGAGTTAGGGTGGCTCTTAAAAAAACAGTTTTTTTGCTCTATTTTTCTTATTTCGAATTTCTCAGCAAAGGTGTCTTCAGATAACTTTTAGATATTAAAAAGGCGCAAATTTTTGCTGCACAAAGCTTCGGTACTTTTTCGGTATAACTTTTTTATTTGAAAATTCTCATGAAAGTTATCTTCTAGAGCATTTTTAAACTCTTAAAGACGAATGTTTTATAGCTGAATTTGTTGCCTGTATCTCTTCTAATAAAAAAGATATACTCAAATAAAGTAAAAAATATGAATAAATTCAAATTGATTTTATACGAGTTTAAAAAATAACATACCTCCAATTTTTTCATATTATTGAGAATAACATACGCCCTTTCAAATGCTGCAAAAAAAAACTTTTTTTTTGTTTGCCCCAACCAGAGATATTACCATTTGAAAAATGCATATTTTTAGTATACAAACGTCAATAACTCTTGATCGGCGAAAGGTATTGACAAGCTTTGTGCAGCAAAAATTTGCGCCTTTTTAATATCTAAAAGTTATCGCAAAACACCTTTGCTGAGAAATTCGAAATAAGAAAAATAGAGCAAAAAAACTGTTTTTTTAAGAGCCACCCTAACTCAATTCAAGAAAATAGCTCTAAATCGGCCAATTTAAGAGATACAAAAAAGTTATTTTTCACAAAGTTGCTTAAAATTAGCTCAGCTATAACTTTGCCGAAGAATATATACCTTAATTTATTCAAACAAAAAAGTTAGATTTTTGATTTTAATGATAATAGGAACCACCCTAGAATTCATTGTCATAAAAATGAGGGCCTAGCTATAAGGAACAACTTTGTAGAAGAGACTTTTAGTCTAAAGTTTCAATTTCAGGCTCAAAACATATCATTCCAGCTAAATCTGCATTCTGTACCACTGTGACATGTACTAATCAACACCCTGATGTACAATTATTTCAACAAACAATTGAGGACATTATACAAAAAAAAAATCTGCAAAATTCAAGTCTGCATTACATTGAAGGCCCACTGATACGAACTGATCATTTTCCGATCAAGCCCTCCCTGCGTGCAATCACAAACAGAAAACCAGCGACGCGCTCCTGCCCTGCAGAGCAACGCAAACAAAACCAGATGATAAGAGTTTTTAAGCCCATAGTCAGAGAGAGGTGAGAAAATGCAAAAAGGAAACCAAAATCAACAACATCAACATAAAAACAACACTACTTACCGGTTGTGGCGGGATTGCATTCTGTGCATCGAAGTCCAGCAGGCCGTTGTTGCATAAGTCGGGCGAAACGCAGACGTAGGAGCTGTCCGGACACTGGGTTGGTGGTGGCGCTGGGAGAATCTTACAACACTGCTCGGTGGCTGAGTTGCAGTTCTGCGCGGAAAAGAAGGAGGAGAAAATTAATGGAAAAGGTTATAAATAAAACAACAACGCCTCGATGCTTCATCGAGAAATGTAATATTCCTAGATCGTAGGTATGTGAGCGAGTTTGGGCCTCCTAGGATTAAATCATCCCATAATGGCAAATGGTAACCCTATCCTAGGTCGTCACGTATAAAACGTACGATCGATCGGTCAGTCGGTTGGTCGGTCAATTGATTGAGTTCAGCTGATATGGGCCCGCGCTCCACACCACCCCGCCTGGCTTGAATGCCAAATATAGGTCATATGTGTGGTTCTCTCTTTCTGCACTGCCCATATATCATTCCTTGGAACGAGGACGGTGAAGAGTTCACTGCAGGAAGATCATCAGGTTGCACTACTGCGAGGAAGTTTTCAATGCCACAGAAGGCCGTCGTCGTTCATCGTCCGGTGAATTTTAATCAGATGCGTAAAAAGTGAAACCTCCCAAACCAGTTCTCAAGTCAATAGCGTCAGTTTTGCGCGAAAACAGAAAGCATTCTGATTCGTGGGGTAAATATTCGCCAAAACAATAAAAAAGAAACCAACGAATGAAAACTACAAATAGATTTCGCGCAGCGTCACCTGGCTCACGCGCTCAGGAAGAATCACTCAAAATCGGAATTAATGTATTCGCAAACTAAACAGTCTTCCTCTATCTGTATCTACGACGCGTTGTCGATCGGTTGAGGCAATCTGCATTCCTCTGCTTGGAGTGGCCAAATGGTAATATTATTCTTCTTTCCTCCACCTTAGCAGCAATTGATGAATGTTAATTTTGTTCTTGAAAAATAAATCACCCCCCCAAAAGGCATTGACGTCAAGATCTACGACTTATGCTGCGAAGATAACCGCGTGGCGACAGCGTGACTACGTGGAGAAACCAGTTTTTCGAAAATATAATAATCCTAGCGAAAATGAGTGGTTTTATTTTAGATTTTTGCAAATTGATCGTGATATGTCCGATATCTAACAAGGTGGTTGAGTGTCATCCATCAGAATACGTTTCCGTCGATAATCGGCCAATAGCAGCAGTAAAACTTAAGTCTACCATTAGTATTCCCATTATTGGCAACAGAAAAAAAAAGAACTGTTGTGTTAAACGAGATATGACTATAAAATCTCGATTATCATATTTAGCAGTACGATTTCAATCAACAGTGCGCTGGGTGGGATGGGCGAATAATTAATGGAAATCGCTCAAATGTATCCTTGAAATTATCTAAACGAGCATCAACAGTGATTAAGCGGGATGTTTGACTAATTTGATTAGACATTTATTGAACTTAATAAACATCTATTTCCAACAAATGTTGTGTTGATAAACATGAATCTGAGGTACGTGATAAACTTGTTGATTTGATTACTAAACATTGCTGCTTTGAATTTAGAACTTCAAAATTATGACCAGTTCGATCCATATATTCCCACCATTAAATTGCACAAATGTTCAACAACAGAAATGACAATACAAGGTAAGGCAAGTGCAATCAACAACATTCAGTCACTCACGGAGAAACGACCTACACTGTATGCCTTTGTTCACTTTCGTGAAGACCCAACAGTCACACAATTAAAAAATTCACTGAGGACTAAACTAAATGAGATTTGCAGAAGGTGAAATTTCGATTAATTTGAAAAAAATCATTCGTCAGATAATAACATTAAATTACAACCAATAACTAAAAATAGAGCATTATCAGTCACAATTATTTATTAAAGTTGCAGAATGATAAGGCATTCCCAAATATCTGAAAGATTACATTTGCCTTTGTATGCGAGATATTTCTTTTTATTTCTTTTTGAAGATCTTTATGACATTAGTTCAAAATGGTCTCTCAAAAGAAAGAGAAATACAGTTTTAAAATTCAGCAATTTGCGTTATCCTGATCATGTAGAACAATCATTTATTAGATACAGTTCTTTAGTTGAGTGAAACCTCCTTAATGACAGTGACGCTAGACCAAAGAATGATACCAAAAACTTGTCACCACAATATCATCCCGATACCATATTAAGCAAATACAATACCAAAACAATACCGCACAGGTATTCTTTTGGTATTCAACCACACATTTTGGTTATTTGAAAAGCATTCTGCATTTTTTTTTTTTTTTTGTATTTTACCTTTCAAGCATTTTTTGAGTAAAAATTTCCTAATTTTCACTGAATCAAGCTAAGACTGTATAGTAGAGTGGGCTATCGTTATATGGAAAAACGCAAACTTTACCTCACCAATCGAGAACAACCCTTTTTTGGTTCCATTTGGAGTCGCAAACAACTGTGCAAAATCTGGGGACGATTGGTTGTAACTCGGCTTTCCACATTGCAGTTGAAATTTGTATGGAAATTAGTATGGGAAAACCAACTTGCATGTTTATTCATAGAGACCACAATTTTGAATGAACCATGCAACTAAGTATGTATAAATATAGTCCGGTAGGTGCCTAACAACTTTTCCAAAGAAAGTACGATGCTAGAATGTATCTAAAAAATTATAACTATTCAAATATTTATGGTTTGAATTAAACACCAAAACACACTGCCGGTGTACCAATGGGATTCAAATTCCAAACTGAAAAAAAAACGTAGAAGGATCTATGCCTAGGGGCACGAACGGAAGCTTGACGTAGGACCGCTAGTGGATGGAACAAATGTGAAGAGCATTTAGTTCTTTAAGTTGATCGATCAATCTATTATCTTAACTCTTTCCGTTTTTGAATTGTAGGTGTAATAAATTTGAAGTATTTTTTTTTCAAAGAGAAAGTTGATGAAGAGAATCGATCAAAATCACTTGCACCCCTGTTTCCACGTTTGGTTACAAGATTACAACTCTGGAGAGTATTTTGTATGGTCGTGGTTCTAAATATGGACAAACAGGCACAGATAAATTATATTCCAACTCTTTATTGTAACAAGCTTGTTGGCCCGACATGGAGGCGAACCAGCCGCAGGCTGAAAGCCTCCCTAATAAAGATAAATTAATTAATTGTTGGCCTGAAAAGGGCCGTTTGGTTGCCAAAGTTGGTGCTGATTTAACCTCCGAAGGCGAGCCAGACGACGGATGGTGGCTATCTCAAAGAACTTTGCGATGACGCTTGGCACCTTCTTTACCAGACCTTTTCCTCCTTTGCCACGACCAGTCAATTGTTGCTTGTTGAGTGTGAAGCAGTGGACTAGCCACCACCTTCCTACTGCTGCTATTGCTGTTCACCACGCCGTCCGAAGTGAAAATGAGCTAATGCCATACAGCAGCGCTCTTTCATATCTTTTCTGGTTAAAGCAGAATGATGTGCAACCAAGTGGTACTCGATTATGACGACTGGGTTTGGGATGAACGTTTATTTCATGAAAACAGTGTTAAAATTAACACTTTTTATTGGTACATTAGACAATGCTTGACATAACCACTATTTCAATAGTTGCTTGTTGAAAATCACCAGTCGAAAGTATTGCTATTGATACGTAGAAATATTTCTGATCGATTGGAGATAAAAATTTTGAAATTGATCCAGGGGCAGCTGAGTTGTCAATGTTAAAAATCTTTCATAATTTTGTTACATGTTCCATTTTAGGATTTCACAAAGTGTACCCCCATATAGAAATCACAGACGTAGTCCTACGTCAAAATTTCCGGAGTTTCTTATCTTGCCGATTTGGTATGTTCAGATGAATTATTCAAAAACAATTGCTCTATCTCATATGTGTAGTTGGAGAGGGAGGGAAGGGGGGAAATAATATACCCCGCCTCCCACTCTATTGATATGATAATGAAGTTTCAAACTGAAATAACTTCGGAGTTTCTTATCTTATCGATTTGGTATGTTGAGATGAATTATTCACAAACAATTTTTCAGTCTCACCTCGCCCTCCTCACTCATACAAATGGAAGTAAACTTCAAACTGCAATAACTTCAGTGTTTCTGATCTTGTCAAGTTGGTATGTTAAGATGTATTTAAAACATGTGCTCCATTTAATAGGCGTAGTTAGATATGGGGGCTTACTGTATGCTTTCCGGTCCTCACTTATATCAACGAAAGTAAAGATAAAGACTTAAATAACATTCTAGCACCACACATCCTTCAGCAAAGTTTTAGGCACTTCCTGGGCTATATTTTAACGTATTTTGATACGTGGTTTGTGAAAAATTGTGATCCCTAGTAATTGCGTTGCGTTTGTAACGGAGTAATTGGTAGATTGCATACTGGTAACTGTCATGTATCAACTTTAACGAAAAACTATTTGGGAGTCAATAGTTCTCCAATCAAAGTTTAGAACAGGAAAAGCATGACAATTACCATTGCCGGCCACGTCGATCTTCTCCGATACTGGGGAAAGGAAGGATATTGTTGATGTAACATCTACTTAACGGGAGGCCAGCGACTCACCGACGCCCCCACAGATGCTACAAAGTTGGATAGTTGGGTAGGAGTCAGGATTCGCTTAAACAGGCGATGTAACCATGATAACTGTTTTATTTTGGAGGAACCTGGGAATAGCACGGAACCCACGGTCTTCTACTCAGTAAGCAAAAGCGGCAGTTACCAAGCTAGCCGAGCACCTCAATTTAAATATTGGGACCTTATTTTGTGATGTTAATATAATACTAATACTAAGAATACTGATTGAAATTGTTTATGAGATCATACAACGCATAAATTAACTGAAGTTAAAAACTATCACTAACTAAACTATTGAAATTTAATTACAACTTCACAACAGTCGAGAAAAAAAGGAGCAAAAATTGACGACTGAAAATTTTCCATGTCTCTCTTCGAGCACAGCACACTACGATCTCGCAAAATTGTGGTCCCTAGTAGTAAAGATTAAAAAAAGTAGGTTTTCCCATGCTAATGTCCATACTAATTTCAAACGCAATGCGGAAAGCCGGGTTACAACCAATCGTCACCAAATTTTGCAAAGTTGTTTGAGACCCCAAGTTACCATATCAAAAACTTGAAAAGGAGGACAT